ATAGAACAGCCTGTGAGAATGGGTACCAGTCTTCTAAAAGAAATGCAAGGGCGGAGGGGAAGAATACGAACCCGAGAAACTTCATCATTGAGGTTGTTGCTCAACTGGAAGACCAGGGCAGTTGTGGCTTCAAGAGCTCTCTGCCTTCGGAGCTCGAGAGCCGCCTTCCGTTCGCTCAACCGTTTTTCATAGGCTTTAGAGGTGTTTCTGAGCAAGTGACGATCGAATTTTTCTTCCTCGGTTGACTGGTAGGCAATACAAATTGTGAATAGCAAGAATAGAACAGTAGAAGAATCGCACAATAACAAAAAGCCAAATTTTCATCGACGGCCACGATGGCTTTTCGAATGAGCATTATCTTATTTCAAGAACAAACTCGAATAGCCGTCATATAAGCCTGCAAGCACTCTACTTGGCTTTATATATCTAAATGAGAACTAAGACAACCAAAGTATGCGAAGGGTGGATGTGGGAGGCAATGATCAATAAAGGTGCTAGTGGTCTGTTAAAAAGCAAAGCGGAGCGATCCAGCTAGCGGTTATATAGTGCTGGCGTTGCGAGACACCTACAAACTTCTAAAGATAGAGTGGAACTTGTTCTTCGAAAAATTATGCATGCTAAGTTATGCTCAGTTTTTTGTTCAAACTAAATAACCAAAAGCTTCACAACCGTAAGGATTATTGAAACTGTGCGGAGGGGCAAAACTACTTATTCTGTCGAGTTGTAAAGAAATGGCTGTTTAAAGGAGGAGTGCTGACGAAAGTCAAAGCAGTCAGTCTATCGGATTTGTGAAGAAATGCTGAATAATTTGAAAATGTTGGCTATTGCATCCTAAGAAATGCAGTAAGCCGACTTCTTAGTAAGGGTAGTTAATATACGTGATTGACAAACGTTCCTATAGCAAGCTTCACACAGAGCAGTAAATAAGCAATAACAGCAGAAATTCTTATTATGGCAGTGAACAGAGTTTGAAAGTCTTTATTAATCCAATTAGCAAGGCCCAACCTCGTCAAATTACATAAAACACCCTCAAGTATCCATTTAGTCGAGACCGCAGACCGTTCTGCGCCCTGATGCAATTAAAGCTGACTGCCTTACTTGATTGACTGGCATTTTGTCTAGAAACAGTTGACGGAAACATCACTCTCCTGATGGTTTTCAGTTGATCGGCTAACCGGACGCAGAATAAACGATTGTACGACCGAGCGAATGTCCGCATGCGTTGCGAAATATGAGCCCCAAACGTTTTTGTATATTGGCTCGTAATTGCGAAGGCCAAACATCGGGAAATAAATAAAATTCCGACTGTTTTAAAACTGGGGACGGTTTAACCAAAAGCCTATGAGAAGAAGACGACTCGATCGCTGGGAAAATACTTCTATTCGCCTGACGTTTCGAGATCC